TAATGAGAGAGAGAGAGAGAGAGAGAGAGAGAGAGAGAGAGGTGGGTGTAAAATTGAAAAGAACACTTTTGTTTTGTGTGATTAGTTGTGTTGGGTAAAAGCTTGACCTAGAAGATGACACGATGGTGCTCAAAATGTGTAAACACATTACACAAGTGCATGTGTAAGTAAAGCCGTTAAAATAATCATTATTTGTTACTTTGTTTTCCCTTGTCATCATATCATGCTCCATTCATCTATCATTTAGACTTTGTGAGAAAGTAAGAAAGTCTCTGAAAAGAAAATAAAAGTTTCATCTTTTTGATCAATCCATTTTCTCTTTTCTTCTCAATGCGCACCGACAACGTTTTTGACTTCAAAAACAAAAGTAGAACTCGTGTGTGAAAAGCAAGATTCTTTTTTCCTTTTCTTTTTCTTATTTTCTTTCTAGTATGAGGTTTATATGTTATATATGTATAAGTATATAATCATAATATCCAAATATTGTTTCCACAAGGATCATACATGTATATAACTCTTACAAAGTTATATACTGAGAACTTTAGAAAGTATTACTTAAATTTGTTTTCATTCTCGAGTTCAAAAAATATACACAAAAATTCCAAATTTCTCATTGTAAAACTAACTTATGCAACTTAAGTCGAACTTAACATGTTTCATGCAATAAAATATATGCACACGCATGGGAATTCCATAAAATATAAAACCTATTTTCAAAGATGTAGCCTGCATAATAGGTTTGTTTGACATTTTCTTGTTTAGAGAAATGGAATTGGAGACTAAAAGCCTTTTTCACATTGTAAAATTAATGAACCGAGAAAGATAAAGTAAACTTCAAAATTGATGCTAATAATGAGGAAAAAGGTGATTGTCGAAGAAGCAATATCACGCGTTGGCATTTGATATATCGTGGTTTTTATGGTTTTTAATTATGGTATAAGTCTTAATTATAGAGTCTTTTTAGTGTCTTTCGAGTCTTTTATAGTCTTTTCAGGTCATAGGTACATTTGGAGCTTAACTGGAAAATTTGAAGCACTTTGGAGTTTAATCAGGATCAAATTCATCAAGGATAGATTTTGTGCCTTAGTGTCGCTCGACACCATGGAGAGTGACGCTCGACACTTATCAGAAAAATAAGGAAAAGGCGATTTTGTTTCCTATTTGAAGAAGGAGTTGGGCCCAAACGTTTTCAAGGAAGCCCAAGACGTGTCTTAGAGATATGTATATATAGGGTTTTTATTCCCTTTTTACGACCCCTGAGATTTTCTTAGAGAGAACTTTTGTTTTTGAGAGTTTTGGGGAGACAAGTCTGAAACTCTGTTCCGAAGAGAGAAGATTTCGAACCCTGTTTATTAATCTATTATTTCTTTTCTGCAATATATTCATTCATGTTTATTGCTTCAATCTTCATGTCTGAGTAGTTTGCTTGTTAGGTTTAGGGTTCTCATAAAGGATCTTCTCTGGATGTTTAATTAATTGATTTAGTTAGGGTTCATAGTCTATTTAGTTCTTCACCATAGGTTGTTCTTAAAGCTAATTCTGGACTGGCCACCTAGAACTTAGATCTTAGGTTAATTGATTGACACGGAAGTGTAATTGAATAACTGGAAAGAACCTAGGGTGAGCAAAGTAACTATTCGCAAAGGAATTTGGTTTAGGAGCTTTGTGAACATATCGAACTTGTGCAATTAAGGCTGGTTTAAATCTTTAGGATTTGCAAAGGAATTTGGAATACTGAGATTTAGACTTAGATAATTCTCGCAACGGAAGTTGGTTAGTTATAATTTCGTGATTTGAGTTCAAGAACCGTGCTTAAACCTGAGCCCTGATTAATCGATTGTTCTGCATTCATTGATTTCCTGAGAAATGCCCTAAGCCTAATCTCCATCCATCTGAATCTTACAAACCGTTTTTATTGCTGCTTAGTCTAATTTTGTTGCATTGCTATTTATTTACAATATTTCTGCTTAGCGTAATTCGATCTCTATAAGGTTTATTGAGTGATCTCTTGTCTCTGTGGTTCGACCCCTACATACTACAACTGCACATCTGTGCTCTTGCAGAGTAGCTTAGGGATTAAACTTTGAGCAGATCAAGTTTTGGCGCCGTTGCCGGGGACTTGATTTCGCCATTAAACCTAGTTTTTGAGTTTCGACTAAGTTTTTCGACTTAGTGTCGAGCGATGGTGTCGCGCGACACCTTTCTTTTTATAACCTAGTTTGCTTATTTCGTGTTCTCTTTTTGTTTTTGGTGTTTCAGGTTTATGCATACTCGTGGAACCAGAAGCAACAAAGACATTCCGCTAGTGAATTTGAGCAACGAAGAGCTAGCTGAGTTAGAGCGAACAAACAGGAAAGCAAGAGATCCGACAATGATGGAAAACGCCAATGGACTTGTTCGTGATGATGATGGAATCTGGAGACACCAAGAGGGTCATGTGTGCAATGCGAGAGGCCAAAGGCTTGACGGAGATGGCAACATCATTCCACCAGCACCTTTACCAGTGGATGTTGTTGACCAGAATCCACCACCTGCACCGCGTGGGAATGCTGTGATCGTTCCACAACAGAGAAACGTTCCAGAGGATCGGAATGTGAGGGAACCTGCACCTGTAGCTGATCGTGGACGAACACTTGGAGATTACAACAGGCCTGAGCAATTCTATGCAAATCGTTCTGCGATTCGCGCCCCTGCGTTTCAAAGAAACGATTTTGAGCTGAAGCCTGTGTACTACACTCTTGTGGGTCAGCATGCTTTCCATGGCCACTCTCGTGAGCACCCTATGGATCACATCGAGAGGTTTGAGGACTTGGTCACCAGCATAAAATACAATAGAGTGTCCAATGATTTCCTCCTCTGCAAGATGTTTCCTTATTCTCTTGCTGGAGAAGCAGCTAACTGGTTGAAGCAGTTGGAGCCAGGATCACTCACCACTTGGGAAGAGACCAGGAATGCTTTCCTGCACAAATTTTTCGATGATGCCAGGTCAGAGGAGTTGAGGACGATAATTTCGACTTTCTCTCAGGAACCAACTGAAGCATTCAAAGCTTCTTGGGTGCGATTCAAATTGTACCAGCGAGACTGCCCCCATCATGGCTTCAGCGATGTGCAGTTGCTGGGTATTTTCTTTAGAGGTATCGACTGGAGGTATCAGATGGCTCTTGATGCAGCGAGCAATGGAAACTTCAACACCAGATACCCAGACAAAGCTGTTGAGCTCATCGAAAACTTGGCATCTAGCAATAGTACCAAGAATGCAGACTATCAGCGAAGGAAGCAGGCTGGGAACATGGATGGATCGCAAATTGCTGAGGTGAAGGCTAAGCTTGACTCTGTGCATAGTCTTCTTGTGGGTAAGAAATCTGTCAGATACCCTGCAGAAGTTCAGAATTTCGGACCAGATGAAGCTTTTGAGGAAGAGGATGTTAACTTCATCAATGGAGCTGGATTTCAGGGTCAAAGATTTGATTCTGGGCAAGGGAACACGAATTACAATGGAAATAATCAGAGGAGTACCTTCACAGGTAATTAGAACTCTTCTGGTTACAGCTCCAAACCTCAATACCAGACATCCTACTCCAACAACAGGTTTTCAAGGAACTATGGTTCTCCTCTTACTCAAACTCCAGATAATGAGGTGAAGTCTATGCTGGAACAGATCTTGGAAGGTCAGCAGAAGATGACTGTGGATTTCAATGGGAAGATTGATGCTTTATATCTGGATCTGAATGGAAAAATTGAAGTTCTGAACACTCATGTCAAGAAGCTTGATACTCAGGTTGCTCAGACTGCAGAGTCTGTAAAAAGGCAAGAAGGATTCCTTCCTGGGAAGACTGATACCAATCCTAAGCATTACTGCAGTGCCATCTCGTTAAGGAGTGGTAAAAAGTTGACTCCTGTGCTTAAAAAGGGTGTTTCTATGGATGAAATCGTGGAGTTTGACGAATCTGAAGAAAATATCGAAACTGCAGAGCCAGTGTCGAGCGACACCACAACCAGTGTCGCGCGTCACCAATTGCAGAGCAAAGCTGATATTGCTCAAAGTCCGAAATCTGCTGAAGAAAGAGTCTACAAACCTAAGGTTCCTTACCCAAAGAGTCCTAGGAAGTCTAAGCAGGAGATAGATGATGCCAGATGCAAGGTTTTGATGGAGAAACTTGTGATTGAGATTCCTTTGGTTGATGCTGTGAAGATTGCTCCTACTCTCAGACACTATGTGAAGAAGATGGTGACTAATAATCTGAGTCATGAGGAAGGAGTGATGATGATCTCTGAACAGGTCAGTGCTATGATTCAGAATAAGATTCCAGAGAAACTCTCAGACCCAGGAAGCTTTGTTTTGGACTGCTCTATCTTCTCAGAGAGATTCAAAAGATCGCTGTGTAATCTTGGTTCGAGTGTTAACCTCATGCCATACTTTGTAGCTGTTAACCTTGGAATGACTGATTTCAAGCCAACTAAGATCTCTTTGATCCTAGCAGATCGATCTAAAAGAATTCCAAAAGGTGTCTTGGAGGATGTTCTGATTAAAGTTGGTGATTGCATAATTCCTACAGATTTCGTGGTTCTGGAATATGGAGAGGAACCCAAAGATCCTTTTATCCTGGGAAGATCGTTTTTAGCTACAGCTGGAGCGGTGATTGATGTCAAGCATGGTAACCTTGATCTCCACTTGGGAGATACCATCATGACTTTCAAGATGGAGAGGCTGAAGGATCCCAATATAGATGGTCAGAAATTCCAAGTCAGTGCAATACCTGAAGTGATAGTTGGAGATTAGAACGTGTTTGATGCTGAGAAGGTGAGAGATCAACCAGAGTTGACGAAAACGTCTACAGAACCAGTGACTGCTGTTGATCAGGAAGCTCCAAACATTGCACTCCATCCATCTCCACCAAAGCAAAGGTCAAGGTCACACAAACACAGATCCCACCCTGGTGCTATTTCTGCATTCCTTGGACGACCTCATGCGCACATCGCTTACACACCACCATGGATGAGACGACTTTCACAGAGGCACTCTTTGCCACTGTCTGATCCACCAGATGCATAGTCTATCCATCAAGTCAAGCTAATGACTTAAAACAAGCGTTTGGTGGAAGGCAATCCACTGGTGAGTTTGTACATAAGTCTTTTTGTTTCAGTTGATTTTCGTTTTTCTTTTCGTGTTTTAGGTGAAGCAGAGGCTGGTGTCGAGCGACACCACCTTCGGTGTCGCCTGTCACTTGCTATCTATTAAAAAAAAAAAAAAAAAAAAATTGGGGTTCGGATTAGTTTGCTGCAATTTGGTACGAGAAGAACAAGTGTCGCACGACACCATCATCAGTGTCGCGCGACACCATCATTGCAGCCAGGTAAGTTCTTTGTTTTTCCTGTGTTTCTCTGTTTCTTTTTTTTTGTTTCGCCAACTTCGGATTTGATAACACTGGGGACAGTGTTATTCAAGTCTGGGGGAGGTAGTTGCTGACATTGTGTCTGTTTTTCTTAAGAGTCAGTTGTGTCAAAACGTTTTTGAGTCAAAACCTGTTGGAGATTATGATGCTTTTCCTGGAATTATTGTGCTGCCCTTTCATCTAAGTGACCACTGCTGCAGATTCAGTCTAGATCCGACTAATGAAAAATCCAAAGGCTGACCAGTTGACTAGAGACGTCCATGTTTCCAACAGAATCCACTAACCTGAGCTAAGTTCTGAACTTCACTTTTAATTCGTTGATGTGACTAATGCCTTAGAGCTTGATTCCTCGTTCGTACTTGATCAATGAAAGCCTGTGTGAAATTTAATGTTGGTGTTTCTCTCCCTGTAACGAGCTAAGAAGAAGAAAAGAAAAGGGGCGAAAAGATTGAAATGATTTTCGCTTAGGAGTGAAGGGCTAGGAATGTTTCCAATGATCCCACTATTTCACATCTAAGTTGGAATGATCACACAAAGGAAGGAAGTGAGGGGTAGGAAAATTTCCTATGACCCCACTATTCGCTGAAAACCTTTGATACAAGGTAAGGGGATAACTCGGGGACTCGACGGCAAACACCATCAGTACTCGCAGCTTTACCCTTATCGTGTATATGCCATAAAAAAAAGAGATATGATGAGTGTACGAAAAAGAATAAGTCTGGGGGAGAGAAAAAGTACCAAAATTTATATTGCTGATTTGTTTGAGTATAGAATGGGAAAGAATCTAGAAGGTTCTGGGCATTGGAATCATCAATGAGATCCAGCGATGAGGGTTTATGGACAATGTTGTGGAATTTTGGACTTAATCTGGAAAGCTGTGAATGTCTACGGAGAAGTACATGGTGGTTCGATTTGGAATGATGAAACAGTAGTTGAGTTGCAGGGTAACTGGTCAAAAGCGATGTTCCAATGAAAGGTTGAGTCTCTGTGTTTTCAAACCTCTTTCTCTTATTTGGTGTTCTGTTTGCTTGAGGGCAAGCAAATGCTAAGTCTGGGGGAGTTGATATATCATGGTTTTTATGGTTTTTAACCATGGTATAAGTCTTAATTATAGAGTCTTTTTAGTGTATTTCGAGTTTTTTGGAGTCTTTTCAGGTCATAGGTACGTTTGGAGCTTAACTGGAGACTTTAGAGCACTTTGGAGCTTAATCAGGATCAAATTCGTCAAGGATGGATTTTGTGCCTTAGTGTCGCTCGACACCATGGAGAGTGACGCTCGACACTTGTCAGAGAAATAAGGAAAAGGCGATTTTGTTTCCTATTTGAAGAAGGAGTTGGGCCCAAACGTTTTCAAGGAAGCCCAAGACGTGTCTTAGAGATATGTATATATAGGGTTTTTATTCCCTTTTTACGACCCCTGAGATTTTCTTAGAGAGAACTTTTGTTTTTGAGAGCTTTTGGGGAGACAAGTCTGAAACTCTGTTCCGGAAAGAGAAGATTTCGAACCCTGTTTGTTAATCTATTATTTCTTTTCTGCAATCTATTCATTCATGTTTATTGCTTCAATCTTCATGCCTGAGTAGTTTGCTTGTTAGGTTTAGGGTTCTCATAAAGGATCTTCTCTGGATGTTTGATTAATTGATTTAGTTAGGGTTCATAATCTATTTAGTTCTTCACTATAGGTTGTTCTTAAAGCTAATTCTGGACTGGCCACCTAGAACTTAGATCTTAGGTTAATTGATTGACACGGAAGTGTAATTGAATAACTGGAAAGAACCTAGGATGAGCAAAGTAACTATTCGCAAAGGAATTTGGTTTAGGAGCTTTGTGAACATATCGAACTTGTGCAATTAAGGCTGGTTTAAATCTTTAGGATTTGCAAAGGAATTTGGAATACTGAGATTTAGACTTAGATAATTCTCGCAACGGAAGTTGGTTAGTTATAATTTCGTGATTTGAGTTCAAGAACCGTGCTTAAACCTGAGTCCTGATTAATCGATTGTTCTGCATTCATTGATTTCCTGAGAAACGCCCTAAGCCTAATCTGCATCCATCTGAATCTTACAAACCGTTTTTATTGCTGCTTAGTCTAATTCTGTTGCATTGCTATTTATTTACAATATTTCTGCTTAGCGTAATTCGATCTTTATAAGGTTTATTGAGTGATCTCTTGTCTCTGTGGTTCGACCCCTACATACTACAACTGCACATATGTGCTCTTGCAGAGTAGCTTAGGGATTAAACTTTGAGCATATCAAGTTTTGGCGCCGGGGACTTGATTTCGCCATTAAACATAGTTTTTGAGTTTCGACTAAGTTTGTCTTTCCAGTTTCCACTTTTGTTGCCTCTCTTGCTACAGATATCGTTTTCTCAATTCCTCCATCGCACTCAGGGACATCTATGTATGTGTAATGAGGATTTGATTGGGACTGTCCTTACTAGAAATTCCCTTAATGAAAATGGAGTTTTCATAAATGATAAGTAAGTTAGCCTATTTTCTCAAAAAGATTTCGAAGAGAAACGCTAAAAAAGAAAATTCAAAAAAATGCATTGGATAATAGTCAGTAATTGCATAAGTGAGGGGTGAGGAGGTCGTGGAAATATTTTGGTAGTCTAACTCTATGTTTAATCATATTTTTCTCATACACTACTTTCTGAAACTATGTGACTTTCAAAGTTATAGCCATGTAATTGTTTTACCAAAAAAAAAGTAATTATTTTACATTGCAATATTTCAACCCAAAAAATACTGATATATATATGGGACAATGACTATAAAGTACCAAAAAATATATTATATTATTAAAATATATCGAATGTTTTAAAAATTATTATATTGTCCGATTATGTTTTAAATGGCTATAATACCCTTAAATATGTTCTTATCAAAAAACATAATAACGAAATTGCCATTATATTTTTATTAGAACGAGGTAAATATTTACAATATTGCCACCGCTTTTAAACCACCGACAAAAATATGTCTACGAACTTTGATAACGTAGACATATTGGATTTGAATAGACTTAACGATTTTGGTAGACTTGTGCGTTGTACTTCATGATATTGTAGACTAAATTGGTAGACTTATTTGGCAGACCGTGTAGATTTATTTTCTGTCGTAAGACTGTAAAGGTAGACTTTTGAATTCGTAGACTTAGTTATGTAATTTATTTGACTGTAGACTTTTAGTGTCGACTTATTCGTTTAACGTGTAGACTTAAATGGAATCGATGAAATATGACTTCGTAGACTTATGTTGGATTTAGACTTATTATGTAAACTTCAGAAGTGGTAGACTTAGTGAGCAGACTTAATGTTATTAGAGGCAGATATATGGAAACGTAGTCCTAGACTTTTTGGTCTGTAAACTTAATAAAGTTATCTATGTGTGTGTAGACTGTTAGTTTAGACTTGTTCTTTGATAGTATAGACTTAATTGGAAACAAGAAAATCTGACTTCGTAGACTTATTGCTGATTTAGACTTATTATGGAAACCTATGTATAGGTAGACTTATAGAGTAGACTTACTATTTTTACAGATAGATTTTTTAATATGATGGTGTAGACTTGTTGGACGGTAGACTTAATCAAGTAATCTATTATAGTGTAGACTTTTAGTGTAGACTTGTTCTTCGACGAAGCAGACTTAAATGGAAACGAGGAAATATGACTTTGTAGACTTATTTTTGATTTAGACTTATTATGTAAACCTCAGAAAAGGTAGACTTAGTGAGCAGACTTAATGTTATTGGAGGCAGATATATGGAAACGTAGTCCTAGACTTTTTGGTCTGTAGACTTAATAAAGTTATCTATGTCTGTGTAGACTTTTAGTTTAGACTTGTTCTTTGACAGTATAGACTTAAGTAGAAACGAGGAAATCTGACTTCGTAGACTTATTGCCGATTTAGACTTATTATGGAAACCTATGTAGAGGTAGACTTATAGAGTAGACTTACTGTTTTTACAGGCAGATTTTTTAATATGATGGTGTAGACTTGTTGGACGGTAGACTTAATCAAGTAATCTATTATAGTGTAGACTTTTAGTGTAGACTTGTTCTCGACGAAGCAGACTAAA